CTGTAGTCCCAGCTACTCAGGAGGCTGAGGCAAGAGAATCCCCTAAGCCCAGGAGTTGGAGATTGCTGTGAGCTGTGACAGCACAGCACTCTATTGAGGGTGATAAAGTGAGACTCTGTCTCTAAAAAAAAAAAAAAAAATTTCTATATGTTTCTATGGAAAATTCCACTGGACTGTTTCAGTGATCATATTACAAGGAGTGATTTTAACCCCAAATATTGCTCCTTAATATATCATTTAAAGGCTTGGCACCCATAGCGCAGTGATAAAGGTGCTAGCCACATGCACCAAGAGTGGTGGGTTCGAAGCTGGCCTGGGCCTGCTAAACAACAATGACAACTGCAACAACAACAAAAAAGGATAGTAGGGCACCTGCCACATATACCAGAGGTGACGGGTTCGACCCCTGCCCCAGCCAGCTAAAAAACAGCAATGAGAATTGCAACAAAAAATAGCTGGGCATTTGTGGCAGCCGCCTATAGTCCCAGCTATTGGGGAGGCTGAGGCAAGAGAATCACTTAAGCCCAAGAGTTTGAGGTTGCTGTGAGCTATGATGCCACAGCACTCTACTTAGGGCAACAAAGTAAGACTCTGTCTCAAAAAAATACATATATATGTATCATTTAAACATATTTTTAATCCTGTTATTCAGTCCAGTATTTGAGGTAGGACATGAATCCCTGGAAGTGACTAGCATTTCAAGAAAACATCATAGTATAGTTAGGATCAGGGAAGAAGATTCAACTCTAGAAAAGCAGGATTGGGAGACAGAAGCTCAAATCTAAAATTCAAGTTGCTTGAAAAGTTCCCATGGGTTATGCAGAGCCTTCCTCCTTCTTCTTCCCAAGGACAGAGGCAATATATTTAGGAAAGATTTATGCATCCCCAAAAGGGATATTTAGGCTGGCAAATCTAAATCCAAATATTCTGATTTCTGGAATTTGCTCTGGGCCCAGGTCTCTGTGAAATGAGCTCTATTGTGTATAGTTTCTTTCTTTCTTTTCTTTCTTTTCTTTCTTTCTTTCTTTCAAGACAGAGTCTTACTATGTTGTCCTCAGTAGAGTGCTATGGCATCACAGCTCACAGCAATCTCAAACTATTGTGGTTAAACGATTCTCTTGCCTCAACCTCCCAAGTAGCTGGGACTACAGGCGCCCACCACCCGCCTGGCTATTTTTTTTGTTTTTGTTTTTGTTGTTGTTGTTGTTATAGTTGTCATTGTTGTTTTGGCAGGCCTGGGCTGTGTTTGAAGCCACCAACTCCACCGTATGTGGCTAGGGTCCTAGCCGCTGAGCTACAAGTGTCAAGCCTTTTTTTCTTTTTTTGAGACAGTGTTTCACTATGTCACCCTCTGTAGAGGGCTGTGGCAGTCACAGCTCATGTAATCTCAAACTCTTGGGCTTAAACAATTCTCTTGCCTCAACCTCCCAAGTAGCTGGGACTACAGGCTCCTGCCACAACACCTAACTATTTTTGTTGTTGTTGTTGTTGGAGTTGTCACTGTTGCTTTAGCATGCCCAGGCCAGGTTTGAACCCACCAGCCTCAGTGTATGTGGCTGGCGCCCTATGAACTGAGCTACAGATACTACCATGTACAGTTTCCTTTTCTAGTTCATGATCTTACTGTCTTGTTCCCTAGGCCCTACATGTGCCTGGAGTGCTTTCAGAAGGTAGACAGTTATCACAGTGACCACTGACAAGGCTCCATTTCTTACTTGGTAGTATTAACAGCCAGCAAACTAAGTCTTTAGATCCTCAGTTGCTTCTCCTCATCAGATCTTTTTTTGTTGTTTTTTTAGAGACAGAGTGTCACTTTGTCACCCTCAATAGAGTGCAGTGGTGTCACAGCTCACAGCAACCTCCAGTTCTTGGGCTTAGGCTATTCTCTTGCCTCAGCCTCCTGAGTAGCTGTCACTATAGGCGCCCACCACAATGCCTGGCTATTTTTCATTGCAGTTTGGCCAGGGCCAGGTTTGAACCCACCACCCTCAGTATATGGGGCTAGCACCCTACTCACTGAGCCACAGGCGCCACCCTCATCAGATCTTAACTTCCATCTACTTAAACCTGCTCATTTCAGACCTAGCAGGGCATAAGTTTAAAAAAGAAAACATTGTTTAAAAGTTATTCATTTTCAACTCTGGAGGTTTCATAAAACTATCTGTGTGGGTGATTTTGTTTTCTTGGGGGTAAAAGAGGTAAAACCAGAATTGAGAATGATGGGCACATGGATAGTCACATAGCAAAAAAACTGTTCTGTCTTCCCCCTGCTGGTTTTGAGGCAGCACAGCACAGACACCCTCTGGTGGCTTTAGTACCAGCCTTTACCTCCTAGAGCTCCATAAAAACAAATTTGCCCTAAAAAAAAAAAAAAAAAATTTGCCCTAACACAGAAACTCTCTGTCTCCAAATAGAAGAATAAAAATGCATTCTCTGAAGTTTTAATTTCAGGTCAAAACTAAGAGAGTTTCCCTTTCTTTCATGTCTGCAGATCAGACTCCTACTCCGACCAGATTCCTGAAGAACTGCGAGGAGGTGGGGCTCTTCAATGAACTGGCTAGCTCCTTTGAACATGAATTCAAGAAAGCTGCAGATGAGGATGAGAAAAAGGCAAGAAGTGGGACATGTGCAAAAAAATCAGTGGTACTCAAATCTACGCTATTTTCATTGTACCTTAGAGTAACTTGCTTAATTGATCAAAGCACAAAATCGCTGGCTTGGTTCTGTAGACCCAGATGGTACTCACTAATTCTAGTCGGCCATCCAGGTTTCTAGGGGTTCCAGATGATGGATCAGCACAAGTCTGTTCACCAAAACCAATCCTCTTCCCCTTCCAGTGGAGCATTATTTAAATAATCTGTTTTTAGGAATCATTTCTGTTATGCATATGTTGAAGGTATTAGAAGATTGTAAAGTTCAGATTTTATTAATAACTTTCTTGTGGTTAAATACTACTCTTTGCTGAGCTGATCAGACTTCTCACTTGGGCTATCTTTATTCAGTTAGCTAGTCAACAGAATCTTTTGAATTTGCACACTTCTTTGCTTTAGTATATGCAGTCTTACCTTCTACTAGCTTTCTAGTACTTTTTAAAGCATGTTCTTAATGTCTTTCAAAGGAGATCAACCTGGGCCACGAAAGGTGGCTCATGCCTGTAATCCTAGCACACTGGGACAGCGAGAAGGGTGGATTTCCTGAGCTCACAGGTTTGAGAACAGCCTGAACCAGACCAAGACTTCATCTCTAATAATAGCCAGGCGTTGTGGTGGGCACTTGTAGTCCTAGCTACTCTGGAGGCTGAGGCAAGAGGATTGCTTGAGTCTAAGAGTTTGAGGTTGCTCTGAGCTGTGATGCCACAGCACTCTACCAAGGGATGACAAAGTGAGACTCTGTCTTCAAAAAAAAAGATCTACTATGAACAAAACTGCAGTTTTTAAATATCTGAAGTTTTTGTTTTTGTTTTGTTTTTTTAGAGACAGAGTCTTACTTTGTCACCCTTGGTAGAGTGCCGTGGCATCACAGCTTACAGCAACTTAAAGCTCTTGGACTTAGGCGATTGTCTTGCCATAGCCTCCCGAGCAGCTGGGACTACAGGCATCTGCCATAATGCCTGGCTATTTTTTGTTGCAGTTTGGCCCAGGCCAGGTTTCAGGTTCAAACCTACCACCCTCAGGTATATGGGGCCAGCACCCTACTCACTGAGCCACAGGCACTGCCTCTGAAGTTTTTTTGTTTTTGTTTTTGTTTTGTATAAAATTAGGGTTAAATTCTCTATGGCCCAAAGGTAGAAGTAAAATTACTGGGCAGAAGCTCTCACAAAGTGTGTTGAATTATGTGGAGGCTACTTAGTAGAGATATCGTTTAGAGGATTAAAATGTTGGAATCCCCCAGGTGTGATGGCTCACACCTGTAATCACAGCACTCTGGGAGGTCGAGGCCAATGGATCCCCTGAGCTCATGGGTTGACAACCACCCTGAGCCAGAGCAAGACCCCATCTCTAAAAAAAATAACCAGGCATTGTGGCAGGCGCCTGTAGTCCCACCTACTCAGGAGGCTAAGGTAAGAGGATCGTTTGAACCCAAGAGTTTGAGGTTGTGGTGAGCTATGATGCCATGGCTCTACCAAGGGCAACAAAGTGAGACTCTGTCTCAAACAAAGAAAAAAAAGTTAGAATCCCTTCTAATCCTGAGGTACTGTGATTCTTATTTGAGCCTTTTATATTCCAGATCCCTAGAGAATCCCTTAGTTTGGAAGACCAGAGGAAATAGTTGAAGAAGCAAAATCAAAGAAAGATAGTTCCCATGGAATAAAAGATTTGGGGGGTGGCTGAGCGCCTGTGGCTCAAAGTGGCTAAGGCGCCAGCCACATACACCTATGGTAGCAGGCTCGAATCCAGCCCAGGCCCGATTCAACAATGATGACTGCAACCAAAAAATAGCCAGGCGTTGTGTCAGGTGCCTGTGGTCCCAGCTACTTGGGAGGCTGAGGCAAGAGAATCACTTGAGCCCAGGAGTTGGAGGTTGCTGTGAGCTGTGATGCCATGGTACTCTACCCAGGAGGACAGCTTGAGGC